AGGTACCTCAGACTCAGTGACCACAATTCACATCATTCTCTTCCCCCAGTGTCCTGGCTCTTCCCCTTGTATTTCCCAGAGTTAGGGTCAGTGGCACCGATATCCACCCAGCAGCCCAAACCTAAGCTGGGCTGACATCCTTCCTTCCTCCTCTTCCTTCCCCCAGGACCCCGTTGGTCACCAAGTCCTTGCTGCTTATACCTCATAAATACAGCTGGAACCTGTCCCCTTCCCTCCATCCCCAGTGCTACTCCCTTAGTCAAGGTGAAGACCACCACCAGCTCTTTGCTACTATACCATCGGATCCCCCTGACCCCACTGTTGCGCCATCTGTCCTGCTCACAGGTCTATTCTCATCCACCCAGTCTTTCTACGGCCACACCTAATCCTGTCGGCCCCTGCTGGGAACACATCTAGAGCTTCCCCACTGCAGGAAGTCAGCATCCCTGGACACAGCTCACAAAGCCCTGGGACCTTGGACCCTGCCCAGGAAGCTGCGGCACCTACACCTTGCTCTCCCTTCAAGTCCCACCTATGCCTTGCTCTCCCTTCGAGACACACAGACCTTTTTAAATTTTCTCCCATGTCTTGCTTTTTCCCAGCTCCAGGCTTTTACACATCAGTTCCTTAGCTTAGGAATATATAGAGAGAGACTAGATCATTTGCCATGTTCACCCCTCCTTCCGGTCTCTTCTTTAAGGACTTGTTTTCTAACCCCCCAGTCTGGACTCCAACCCACTCATGGCCTTCTGTATTGTCTGGAACAACCCCTCCCATAGCACGTCTGCAGTGAATCTTCAGTGCTGCCTTAGCATCTCCATCCCCATGAGACTCTGCACCCTACAGTCTGGGGGTTTGGCTATGCCACAGAGAATGGAGGTCACCTCTGATAAGCAATGTATAGCCCTCGGATGCACCAAGGACAAATTGGCTTTGGACTCTAACAGTTTCCTTCAGAGTCAAGGTCTGAGGGCAGTAACTACGGCCCTAACAATGAAGGGAATCCCTGTTCTGGATCCTGGGGTTGTCCCCAGAGATGAAGAGAGAGGAAGTGGCTCGCTTACCTGGCGTCTGCACACTCGCGCTTTGCAGCTGTCCCCCTCTGCCCAAGGGCACCTCAGAGTTTCTGTCCTCAGAATCATCATTCAGAAAGTGTCCCATTTACCGGCAACGGAGATGGCGGAGCCAGACCTGAGCCCGCCCTTGACTCTCACCTTGGACCCTCACTTAACCTCTCAGACCCTTTATTTCCCCATCTGTAAAATGGAGAGTAATAAAACCTGACTTAGAGGGTTTTAATGTCACAAGTGAGCATTTAAAATGTGGTTGTCATTACCATTACAATGGAGTCACATCATCTATACATTAAATTTGTGGGAATTCAACTATGTGTGCTTGGCAACAAAAAGAGATAGAGAAATGGTATAGTAGGCAATTCGGCTAGTCTTTCCACTTGCCAGTATATGTCCCAGAGAGTGGGTGAGGTGGGGGATGCCGGCTGCTGGGTACACCATCTCTCTCAGTCCCGTGAACCTCTTCCAGCATGGGTGGAAGTCGTAACTATAACTGGGCTTGATTTTTTAAATTGAGATATAATCAATGTATTAGTTTCAGGTGTATAATGTATTGATTCCACATTTGTATATATTGTGAAATGATCACCAGAAGTCTAGTTAACATCTGTCACCATACGTATACATTTTTTTCTTGTGATGAGAAACTTTAAGATCTCTTCTTAGCAACTTTCATGCATTATTAATTATACAGCATTATTAACTAGAGTCAGGATGCTACACAGTGCATCCCCATGGCTTATTGATTTTATCACTAGAACTTTGTACCTTCTGACCACCTTCACCCATTTCGCCCACTTCCTACACCCCACCTCTGTTAACCACCGGTCTGTTCTGTGCATCTACGAGTCTGGTTCTTGTTTGTTTCTTTGTTTTTAAGATTTCACATAAATGAGTCATCTGGTGTTTGTCTTTCTCCATCTGACTCATTTCACTTAGTGTAACGCTCTCAGGGTCCATCCATGTTGTCACAAATGACAGGATTTCCTTCTTTGGTGGCCGAATAACATTCCATTGTGTGTGTATGGTGTATGTATGTATATGTATGTATATGTATGTATACACACACACACACACACACACACACACACAGAGTTGTTTATAACAGCTAAGACATGGAAGCAAACTAAGTGTCCATTGATGGATGAATGGATAAAGAAGATGTGGTTTTATATATGTATGTATGTATGTATGCATATACATACATATATACATGTCTTGGCTATTGTAAATAATGCTGCAGTGAACATGGAGGTGCAGATATCTTTCGAATTAGTGTTTTCATTTCTTTTGGTTAAATACCCAGAGGTGGAATTACTAGATCATATGATAGTTCTATTTTTAATTTTTTGAGGAGCCTCCATAATGTTTTCTATAGTGACCGTATTAATTTACATTCCCACCGACAGTGAATGAGCATTCCCTTCCCTCCACATCTTTGCCAACACTTGTCATTTCTTGTCTTTTAGTACTAGGCATTCTGACAGATGTGAGGGGAAATCTCATTGTGGGTTTGATTTGCATTTCCCTAATGATTAGTGATGTTGAGCACCCTTTCATGTACCTTTTGGCCATCTGTATGTTCTTTGTAAAAATGTCTGTTCAGACCCTCTGCCCATTTTTTAATCAGATTGCTTGGTTGTTTGCTACTGAGTTGTTTGAGTTCTTTATACATTTTGAATATTAACCCCTTGTCAGTTACGTGATTTGCAAATGTTTTCTCCCATTCAGTAGGCTGCCTCTTCATTTTGTTGACAGTTTCCTTTGCTATGCAGAAGCTTTCTAGTTTGATGTAGTCCCACTTACTTATTTTTGCTTTTGCTGCCTTTGCTTTTAGTGTCGAATCCAGAAAATCATCACAAGACCTATGTCAGGAGCTTCCCACCTATGTTCTCTTCTAGGAGTTTTATGGTTTTTGGGTCTTACACGTTGGTCTTAACTCCATTTTGAGTTAATGTTTGTGTATGATATAAGATATTGGTCACGTTTCATTCTTTTGTGGGTGGCTATCCAGTTTTCCTGACACCAATTATGGAAGAGACTGTCCTTTCCCCACTGTATATTTTGGCTCTTTTCTCATAAATTAATTGACCATGTATGCATGGGTTTATTTCAGGGCTCTCTGTTCTGTCCTGTTGTTCCATGTGTCTGTTTACTGCCAATACCATATTGTTTTGATTACTGTAGCTTTGTAATACAGTTTGTAATCAGGAAGTCTGATACCTCCATCTTCTTTCTTATGTCTCAAGATTGCTTTTGGCTACAGGAGGTGATTTTGCCTTACTCAGTGTAGTACCAGGTAGAAAATGAGGGTGAGATTTAATCTGGTAGCTCAGTTTGTGTATGTGGATATTTAGGGCACAGATGAAGAAGGAATAAAGCAAGATAGGGTAATTGGGATTTGGGCCCAGGCAGGTTCCATCTACTAAAGGATGATAGTTAGGCTCCATGATATTGACTACTTGACCTTGATCAGTGAGTGGCAGGTACATGCAGGGGAGATTGTGGGTTTATGGAGTGATTCCTCCATCAATGCCTTAGTCCACAAAGATCCCATGTACTCACTGGCCTCCCTAGAACCTTATGCTCTTGTACCTGCCCAACCCTCGAGTGCCCCTGTCTCTTTGTTCATACTGAGCCTGCCCACTGACACCTTCTCCAATCCCACTCACCTGCCTCCTTCCTCTCTGGGTGTCTAAACCCTAAAATCACTGGAGCACAAAGGTCAACGGCTCATCTCCTCATCTTCAGGTGGTAAGATGTCTAGCCATTCCAGTTTGCCCAAGGCTGAGGGATTTCCCAGAATGTGGGATTTTAGCTCAAACCGGGACAGTTGGTCACTCTGATAGGCAGAAAGTGAAGTCTCTTCAAGAAGTCTTGCCTGGTTTCCTTAGGTGGGAGCGATCTTTCCACTGAACTTCTCCTAGAACATTATTTGTGTATGTCCGTGTCCATGCTTGAACTCCACATCCACCATACTCCAGGACTCGAGCGGCTGAGGCTGTGGTTTGAGGACGTCTTGTCATCGTGTGTCCTGTCTGCTCCAGATGAGGGTCAGAGTGGGAGGTGGGTGTGGGAGGTAGGTGACCTACCTGGGGCTCTGCCACTGAGGCCCTTTTCACAGCCGTGGAAATTTCTGCAAAGCTGGTTCAGATAGTGCTCTCTGAAACATTTAATTACATATAAAGATCTTGAAGGCTCTCGGTCCCCTCCCAGGGAAACATTACTTTTTCCTGCTACTTCTGAAGTTGGCTACTTGGAAAGTAAAGAAATTGAACTGAAGATGAAGCAGCCTGGGGAGGGGTGGGGAGGCATTACTGAAAGGGAGAAGCAGCAGAGAGAGATGGGAAGGGTGACAGGGAGACAGAGCCAGCCAGGGGAGGTGCAGGGATGTAGAAGACAGGTTCACTGAGACTGAAGGGCAGGAGGTGAGAAAAGTAATGAGTTTCAGGAAGAGAGGGAAAGAGGCGGGAAAGAGAGAGAGAGATGGCAGCTAGGCTGTGTTGGGGAGTCACCAAGAAGTTGGAGGGTTGGCCGTGGTGAGTGAGGTCACAGAAAAGAGGGCTGGCAAACTAGGAGAGAAACAGCTTGGCTGAGAGAAAGAGCTAACCAAGGAGAATTTAGCAAAGCCGAGGGAGGGAAACAGTTTATGGTTCCAGAATTTCACAGGGGAGGGGCTTCAGGGAAGCACTGGTTGGAAGGGGATGGCTCTGACCAGGAGATGCCTTGAAGAACAGAGTCGCTCAGCAAAGAGCCGGTGGAGGTTATGAGGCGCCAAAGCTTCTACCCAAATGGCCCTTGCTGCCTCCTCCCCACGGGAGAGCAGTACAGAGTTAGGAAGGTCATTGGCGGCATCGGTGCTGGCCCCCATCCCAAGGAGAGTCCCTCAGGGATCTCCCTCAGCCCTGACCGACTCCTCTCTTGCAGGCTGTGACAGCGACCACTGGGGCCCCCACTGCAGCAACCGGTGCCAGTGCCAGAACGGAGCCCTGTGCAACCCCATCACAGGCGCCTGCGTGTGTGCCGCCGGCTTCCGTGGCTGGCGCTGCGAGGAGCTCTGTGCGCCCGGCACCCACGGCAAGGGCTGCCAGCTGCCGTGCCAGTGCCGCCATGGAGCCAGCTGTGACCCCCGCACTGGCCAGTGCCTCTGTGCGCCGGGCTACACTGGAGTCTAGTGAGTACTGCCTGCAGGGCCTGTGGGTGGGGTGGGGTGGGGTGGGGTGAGGTGAATCCCCGCCGCCTGCCTCCGCAGCTGCACAGTCTGCCACTGGCGCCTGACTGTGGGCAGATGGTCCCAAGAGAAGAAAGGTCAAGGCAGTCCTGGCTGTCAGATCCCCTGTGCTGTGACTCCAAGTCCTACAGAGTTTAAATGCCCAGGTGTCTCCTATGCAGGTCTCTGCTCCCTCCCACCCAGGCCCCAGGGTGACTGGTACAAGCTGAGATGAAGCATGGCCAGTTCATTAAACTCCTACTCCATCCTGTGGGTAGTTGGGGGTGGGCCGGACCTTAGCTTGCCGTTCTCTGATTATAGCCCAAGTGCCACCATTCACCAGGGTCTTGACCCTTCAAGGCCATTTAAGAAAAAAAAGAGGTGGGTGAGGGCCCTGGGCAGGTGTCATGCATAGATTCAGGGAATTTACTGTGTCTGCTGCTCTCCCCAGCCTTCTCCCCTCGGACCTCAACAGCCCCTCACACCAGTTTTCTGAGTCTGTACTGACAGGGGACCACCAAGACTGCTTAATTGAGACCCCCTCAGAAGCGAGATTGAAGTTCTCCTCCCTACCTGGTCGAAGGCTCAGTGGCCTCCCAATGGCCCTAGATCCTGAGAGAGCACCCAAGGACACTGGACAGGGACACATCTTTGACCGAGGATGTTTCCTGCCCCAGTGTGTGGACGGCTCCAGGGCCATTGCTCTAAGGCCTAAGGCCAAGATCCTAGGCAAATCCTCCCTCATACCTCAGCAGTGCACATGAGCCTGTTACAATAGCTGAGAACCTTCCAGAACCTGGAAGTGGGGCAGGCCCCAGATACTCCTTTCCCTGAATCTTTAAAAATCTAGGTGGATTCTTAAAAGCTGTATGGACAGTCACTTCTCAGTGCCTTTACTCATGCTGTTCCTTCTGCCTGGCATGCCCTTCCTTCCCATCTCCCAGTGAAACTAACTTCACCCTCAGGACCCGCATGAAATAGCTTCCTCTTTGGAAGCATTCCTCCCCAGAAGAACACTCTTCTTTACACTATAGCCCGTAAGTCATCTCATAGGTACTGGCCAGAGCACATAACATTCCATTTCGTTATACCTGAGCCCTGTTGCCCCCTTCTGGCGGGAAGCAGGACTGCATTTCAGCTCACCATGGCCCAGTTCACACTGTGAACTCACTAATTCCAAGGGACCCCTGGGACCCTGCCATCTGACCGAAGGCTGCTGTGTCTAACACCTCTGCTTCCCCCACGCAGCTGTGAGGAGCGGTGCCCACCTGGGAGCCATGGGGCTCACTGTGAGCTGCGCTGCCCCTGCCAGAATGGGGGCACCTGCCATCACATCACGGGAGAATGTGCCTGCCCCCCAGGCTGGACGGTAGGTGGGCCCACAGGACCTGGGTGGGACCCTGGAGGAGGGGTGCGCATCCCTCACACACGTTGGGGGGCTGAATACCTCTCCCACCCCGACAACCCTCCCTCCTGTCTGTGGTCATGGGCATGACTGGACACTGCCAGTGGACACAACTTTGAATCACATCTGCATCAAAGGGCTGTGTGAACTGCCGGCAAGTTACTTAACCTCTCTGAGCCTGTGGTCCCTCGTGCTTAGAGGACTTGAAATCTAGATTAACTCTATCTTTGGGCATAGGTACTCACCCGAGCTGCCAGATGGGCTCTGGGCTAGATGTGGCAGCAAGGTGTGGTGTAAAGGGCAGGGGAGCAGGTGGGAGGAGGAAGGAAGATGGCAGAGTATGGCTCGATACCCTGGGGTTCTAGAACTTCATATTTCCAGCCTCTACCCCCGTTCTCTCTCATACACACACATCCTAGTTCTGTGGGCCCAGAATCCGTATTTTAACATGCGCTCCCGGCGCTTCTATGCAGCCTCTGCCAATCCAGGTCTCATGTCCGGGAACCACTACAGTGGAAAAGGGGGATGGGAATTATAACCTCACAGGGCTAAATTCAGGGGCTACATCCAGTGTTGACCTGAAAAAAGTATTCAGTTACTCTGGTCTCTGCTTCCCCATCTGTAAGCAGAACTGATACAACAAGAGTCCAACCCTCCCCTTCCTAGCTACCATGCTTAGCCAAAGGCCCACTTGAGGCCGTGCATGTCCAAAGTGCCTTGCAAACTCTGATGTGCTTATAATTGCTGTGTTATGTCCCTGGATCCCACAGGCAATGCACAAGCCTCCTTTTTAGCCAGCAAGCTCCCCTCCCTCACCAAAGACCCAAGCTTTTCAGGAGCAGTGAGTCACTAAGGCTGACTTTCCCGGGCTGTGTCCCTGCTTCCAACTCTCCAGTGATACCCCCTGTTTCACAGGAAGCTGGGTGCCCCAGCTGGCTGCCTTCCTTGGGACCCGAGACTTTGCAAAGCTAGAGAGGACAGGGTTGCTGAGCAGGAACAGGACATTTTGGGGTGCTGTGAAGGCAGAGGTCACGGGGAGCAGGCGGGGGTGGTGCCTGCAGGGCCCATTGAGGCACAGATTTGCCAGGATTTTCTAGAGCAGGAAAGGACTGGGGGGTGATTTAGTCTAGCAGTGTCCAAACCTGGCTGCACACAGAGTTTCTGGGGCCAGAGGCCTTAAGAACAGATTCCCAGGCCCCACCAGGGACCTTCTGGGGCCTGGATCTCTATCTCTAATAAGCTCCCCAGATGATTCTGAGGCAGCCAACCCTGTCTGCTGGTCTGTGTTCGGAAATAATTGATCGGGACTGTAGGATTTCCTTCTGCGTTTCATAGAACCTTGGGGTTTCTTGGAGGTGAGGATCCTGATAATTAGGGCTCTCGGTCCTACGCACCCTCTCTTCTCCATTTAAATCTACTTTCTATATTGAGGTACTAGGTAAGATTTCACATAAAAACGGGGTCTCCCAGCTTTTAGAGTTTGAACGCCACTGGTCCATCAATACATTCCTTTCTCAGATGAGGAAGCTAAGGCCCAGAGAGGCTGAGTAACCTCTCCAAGGCCACACTGTTGGTTAGGAGGAAGTTAGGCTAGGATCTAGGTGTCCCAGCTCTGGACTCCTGAACCTCAGCCCTTGGTGTCTGAGGACAAAAGGGTTTCTGCTGCCTTTCCTACACCTGCCCATTTCTTCCACCCTGAACCACGCTCTGAAAGACCCTCTCTTATCTCCAGCCAGCTTCCAGAATTCCATCACCCATGGACTGGGTCCTTGGAGGCCTAGCAGCAGGCAGTGAGGCTGGCTCTGGGTGAGGTAGGGGGAGAATGGGAGAATGGGACACAGAGCCTGCCCAGACCTGCGTGTACCTGTACCTGTACCTGTACCTGTAAAGATCTCTCTGGAGAGACTGATGGAGGCCAGCAGTCAAAGAAGAGGAAGGGAGGAGGCCAACACATGGAGGAATTTTTTTTCTCCCCAACACAGTGAGAGGCTTGTTCTTCCCAATGACAAGAAGCTCTATCAATAGAAGCCTTCAGATTTGGGGACTTTATGTTTTTAATTTTATTGTAGACAATTGCATTTCTATTTTTGACACACCATTTAACTTGCAGATTTGTATGAATTATTAATACCCTCGGGGGTGCTGGGTGGAAGGCTCCTGCCTTGATCGTCCCCCAAGACCTTACTTTCTTTTTGGGCCCAGGCGGCTTCGGCCACACTCAGGGATCGAAAAAACACAATTGCTGACTCACACAGTGCGGCTCCCTAAAGGACTGAGGCCTGGTGCAGAGCTAGAGAAGAGCCTCCAGGATCTCTGGGCCTCTGGGGCCCTCCTCAGAGATTCCCGGCCACCAGGCTCTACGTGGGCCTGTAGGACACTCCACTTGCCTACCTGTCATTAGCTCGTTCCAGCAGGGGCCTTGGCAAAGAGCCTGGGAAATTACTCTTTTCCTTTCACCAGAGAAGAGAAAGCAGGTGTGAGTAGTTGGATGAGAGTGGGGACTGCAGACAGAAGGGGAGGTAGAGGATGTGATCAGCCCCCGTTAAGAGTCCCCATTCTGATGGTGGAGGCTGGATATAGTGTGTGTCTGTGAGTGTGTACACACACACACACACACACCCCTGACAGGCCTGAGGAGAGATGGGGCTGAGGTGCTGGGAACTAGGACCAGGTGTCCCAGAGGGCCAGAGATTGGCCTTTGGAGCTGAGGCTGCAAAATTAGATGATCAAGTTTGGGAAGGACGATTCATAGAGACCCACGCCCTGGACTTCAGCGCGCATACCAGCGACTGATCACTGACCACTGAGAGCATCCATGCTACCTGGGACGGTGGTCACAAGAAATACCTTCAGGTGGCTGGAGAGGCTGAGTGGTGCCTCCTCTGGGAGAATCAGAGTGACCTGCCTGAGTCCTTTTATATTTACACTCCATTTAGCCACGGTCCTCTGAAAGAGTGGTTGGTTTCCAGATTTTGACAAACCATTTGGTCTAACCAGTTCTGAGAGGGGCGGGACTGTTGCCTCCCCTCATCTCCAACCTTCTGGAAGCCATACCATCCAAGATCCCGCTACAGTTGGAGATGTGCACTCCAGGCGAGCGCAGGGCCAGTGTATTAGTATGCTGGGTCTATTGTAACAAAGTGGCAGAGGCTGGGGGGCTGTATTTTCTCACAGTTCTTGAAGCTAGAATTCCACGATCAAGGTGTTAGCGGGGTTGGGTCCTTCTGAGGCCTCCCGCCTTAGCTTGCCGTTGGCTGCCTTTCCCCTGTGTCTTTGCGTGGTCTTCCCTCTGTGCATGTCTGTGTCCTCATCTCTTCTTCTAAGGATACCCACCAGATTAGGGCCAACCTTAATGGCCTCATTTTAACTTTCTTATCTTTATAAAGGCCCTGTTTCCAAATATAGTCACATTCTGACCTACCAGGAATTAAGATGATGTGAATTTGGGGAGACACAGTTCAGCTCAAAACAGCAGAAAGGAAGCCACAGCCTTCTAAGCAGACACTTCGCCGCCTGCTTTCTCTCCCATCCATCCCCCAAAGCCTGTTCTTCCAGCTAGCAACATTACCAGTTAAGGTTCTCCCACTCCTCCGAGGCTCTGCTGGTCCTGGGCCCCTACTACGTGCAGCCCCAGGTGTCCACTTGGGTGGAATTAACATTAATTAAGGAGCTGCTCTTTAGGACACTGTACTAGGGTCCTTCGCCTCTCCAAACTCACTTAACCTCTACAGCCACCTTGGAGATTGGGAGTTATGACTCCCATTTTAGAGGTGAGGAAACCTCTAAAGGCTCAGGACAGTCACGGGGCTCGTCCTAGATCAGCCATCTGGGAGGAGGCAGAGCTGGGACTTGCATCCAAGGGCTGCCTCTGGGTCCAGTGTTCGCTCAGCCACACCAGGCAGCGGGCCTTCCAAGGTATTGAATTCCTTCAGGCTCCAGGAGCTCCAGCCCGAGGAGGAGTCCAGGGATTCAGGCTTGGTTCAGAGAACCTGGCTGCCTGAAGTTGAGGAACAGGGAGCAGGGGCTTAAGGAGGTACTTGCCCACCTGTCTGAAAAGTCCCCAGGATTACTTGATTTCCTCAGGAAATGTTGGAAGGAAGTATTCTGTGCACCAGACTTCCCTGCTGGCCTCCTCAGATGGCCCTAGTCATGTCTCAGAAGCTTGTGGGGTATGCTGAGAAGGCAGGCCTCTGTGGGGAGCGCCTACCACCTCCAGGAGGAAGAGACCCCCTTCCTCTGTGACTTTTCCTTGTCCCTCTCCTCACATACACACTCGTCTTGCTGCCTCTGGCTGCTGCCTCTGCCCCTTCAATCCCCCCTTTCCCTGCCCCACCTCTGCCCCATCACCTTCTCACATGTGGGGAAGAGAAATCTGAGCTAAAAGGCCTCTCACTTAATTCATGACAGTAAACTGGATGATATTGAAAAATGACTCGGGTCTGGCAGCATTTTCCTAAGCAAACTAGCTTCCTCTGGGTTGGTAATTATTGGTGCTTAATAACTGTGTGTTGAACTAATTGATTAATGAATTGCGGGAGATGCCTTGGTCCTCATAAGAGAAATGATTCTCTCTGGTGTGGAAGAGGCTGGAAGGGCAGCCAGTTCCAGTTTCTGTTTAATAAAGACCTAAGATTTGTGACATAATGTTTAAAGTTATCTAATCCTACAAGGCTACTACTGGAGGGAGGGGAAATAGTCCTCTGACTCTCTCACAAGTCCCACTCCAGAAAGGCAGGTGCATTCACATCTTGTAAGTGTTCCTTCTGGCATTTCCATCCATGTTTGTGCATCACATACTTCCCTGCCATTTCCTGACTTTCCCATTGTAGACATTTGTTGTCTCTGTTGACTTCCTACCATAGAATAAGATTTGGATCTGATATAGACAAGTGCAACCCTTCCCGCATCCTCTCAAGTGGGACTTTCTTACAATTTTTGGTTGAATCATTTTGATGACATTAATGACTTCATCATGTCATGACATAATGAATTCAAAATCAGTATTTCTGTTGATGTGCCCACTTATGTGTCATCACTAATTTATCCCTGAAACTCTCTGGCAGAACTTGAAAAGACCTCTCGATAAGGTCAGACACATCAGATATCTCTCAATTTGGTTTTTGTTTCTGTTTTTTACTTTGAGGCCACACTCCCACATGGAAGCTTTGTGTGTTTCAGTTCCTGCTTCCTGGTGTCATTTTGGACCTCCTTTTACTGCCACCCTGTAATTCCTTTTACCTCTCTCTCCTGTTGGTGTCCCCATTTTGTTCTTTTTCTTGGGTAATTCTTTTTGATGAAAAAAAAAAAAATCCTCCAGTAGCTTCCTGAGAAAGTTCATGGAAAGTTAATTTTTTGAGGCTGTTTGAATCTGAAAATGCTCTTATTGAGTCCCCACTTAAGTGTTAGTTTAGCTGGGTATAGAATTCTAGGTTGCAAACTGTTTTCCTCTGAAGTTCTAAGGCATTGCTCCATTATCTTCTAGCTTCTAGTTAAGAAGCCCAGTACCTTCTGGTTCCTGTTCTTTTGTATGTGACTTTCTGAAAGATTTGAGGAGAATTTATCCATAGAAATGTAAAGATTTATAGTGATAAACCTTAATATGGGTCTTTTTCACTTTTCATGCTAGATACACAATTGGCCTTTTCAATTCAGAGATCAGTGCTTTCCGTCCTTAGATTCTGGGAAAAAATTTCTTGTATTTCCCATTTAATTTAGGCACCTCCATTTTCTCTGTTCTGCTCTCTAGAACCCCCTATTAATCAGATATCATACCTCCTGGATGGAGCCTCTAATTGTATTTTGCGTACAGTTTCCTTCCTTGGTGCTTCCCCCTTCCCCTTCTTTTTTGTTCTTCTTTGTGGGAGATTTCATCTTCCAGCTCTTCTATTACAAATTTTAAAATTTCTGCCATCTTATTTTTAGATTTCAAAAACTCTTGATTTAATGGCACTCTACTCTTCCATAGATAAAATAATTTCATATAACTATGTACAGATACTCATTTTAATTATAAAAGAAGTTCATAAGTCTCTTTTTAAAAGTTTTCTTTGCTCCCCACACAGTTCCCATTTCCTCTGTGTTCCAGTTGGGTACTGGTCTGCTTAGGTCTGCCTCTCATGTTAGAGCCTTATTTGAAATAGCTGATGATCCTTCACCACCTGTTCCTGTGTTATAGTGAGCCTCAGAAAAGCTGGTTGGAAGCCTGGGGGATAGAGGGAGTTGCCAGGCTTATTGACTGATGGAATCCTTAAATATCAGCATCTGTAGGTCTTTCCTTTTGAGTTTATTGGTGCCCCCAGAAAAGAATCCTCCAGAACCCTGCCAGTGGGAAATAGTGTGGTAATGAGCAGTCTCATTGCTGAGCAATCAAAGGTGCACAGGATCCCCATTTCTCCTGGTGCCCCTTCAAGCCCTGCTTGGCATCCCTATGTCCAAGCCTACATGAGTCAACCTCTTCAAAAGTCAACTGCCAGGCTTCTGCCAGACTGGGCAAGTCACCTGGCTCTTTGAAGCAGGGGCAGAGATCTGGGGTCTTCTTCTCTCTTTTATACACTTAATTTTTTTTTTAATTTTATTTATTTATTTGACAGATAGAGATCACAAGTAGGCAGAGAGGCAGGTGGGGTGGGTGGGGGGAAGCAGGCTCCCTGCTGAGCAGACAGCCCGATGTGGGGCTTGATCCCAGGACCCTGGCATCATGACCCGAGCCGAAGGCAGAGGCTTTAACCCACTGAGCCACCCAGGCACCCCTCTTTTATATACTTTCAAACAGCCCTTGTGTTTCAGCATACCTGCCCTCTGACCCTCAGAGGTTCCTGGTGTCTCTGATTCCTGAGCTTTTCTGAGGTAACCATCTTCCAGCATGTGATGTCTCGTGTCCGGCGCAGCCTCTGCTCCCGTTCCTTTTGTCCTTGTAGGCTCACACCTTTCCCCCCTTTGCTCTTGTGGTAGCAGAGTTTGGGAAAGGAGTGGAAATAAAGTGTGTGTTTCCAGACCACCGTGTTTAGTCAGAGTCTCTTTGTTTTTCCTCAGCACTTTGTGGTAGGCCAGTGTGAGAGCGCTTGCTGCGTTGGCTTTAGTTATCTGCTTTTCTTGCCCCTCTCCCCAGTACTGGGAGGTCACAAATCAAGTCTACCTCATATTTTCGTATCCCTAATGTCTACTAAGGTGCCAGGTATATAGGAGGCACTTAATCAGTGTATGCTGCGTAATTGGAGGAGCTGATTGGCCTCAGTCTCTGTATCTCTCAAATGGGGCTTTGGAGCCACAGTATCCAGCTTCTTATGCTTCTTTGACTGGGGAGAAAGTCCCCCTGAGGAAATGGGATGGTCCCTGGGGCTCTAACCACTGTGCCGCTTCTCAGAGAGAGTGGCATCATGTGTGTCTTCCCTCCTCTGTTTTAGGGAGCAGTGTGTGCCCAGCCCTGCCCGCCGGGGACGTTCGGCCAGAACTGCAGCCAGGACTGTCCTTGCCACCACGGAGGGCAGTGCGATCACGTGACTGGCCAGTGCCACTGCACAGCTGGCTACATGGGGGACAGGTAAGAGAAGTGTCAGCTAGCGTCCTTGCTGAGCATGTTGCTCATTTTCCCAGTGGCCTTGCAGGGGTGGACTGAGGTTTACCAGCCCACAGCATGCGTCTGTGAGCTTTCCTGCTTTCTCAGAAAGCATTCCGAGTCCTTCTGCCAGGAAGATTCATCCCTCATCTTTCCCGGCTCTTGGTCTGCTACACCCCGACCCCTGTGCCCAGTGACCCAAGTGGTATGCTTGCACTGACTCACCAGGAGAGGGAGGTGAGCACCTATCACTCACTCTGCTTTCTGCCTTACTGGAGGGAGGCAACGGCGCCAACAGTCCAAAGAAGCTGGGAATGCACATGTGTGGAATCACACATTTTGCATAATTTCTTCTAGAACTAAATTTTGATTCCTAAGGTGGGTTGTACCAAAAGAACCCTGGTCTCTGTTTGCATCCTCTGAGGGCTTGTGGCCTGATAGCTGAACAGAGGCTCCAGTGTTGTGGGATCAAATCAGCCTTGCAGACTGGATAGCCCACAAAACACAGAACTGCGGAATTTCCGCGCACATTCGCCGTGGCAGGGAGAGGGAAGCCACGATGGTAGGACGGGTGCTGTGGAAGACAGAGAAGCAACAGCGAGCGTGCTGAATGGTGAGTGAATTCAGAGCTGGAAGAGGGCATCTGCCTCAGACAGGACCGGGCCAAGCCTCAACTACATGCTGCGTCTTTTCTAGAAGAGCAAGGAGCAGTGGGGGCAAGGCTCTCACACCCCCTTCTCTGTTTCTGTGGGATCCATGTTGCATCTCTGGCCCTGGAGTTTTTTTTTAGTCTGCCCAAAGTGAGGCAAGAGGAATATTTTTTTTGCCATCCCCCTGCTTTCCCTGCCCAGATAACATCAGCAAGGAGGGATCAAGGCTAAGTCAACTTATCGATCCTTCTGGCTGTGACAGTGTAACCGGGCTCCTCCAACTATCACTAGAGTCAGCCCCAAATCCCCAGTCATGTCCAGAAAAGCAGTTTTCCATTTTTTGCCTTAGGTCTGTTTACCTCTAGCCTGAAGTCTTTCGAGCCAGATCTGATCTCTCTGTGAGCTAGTGTTCATCTCCATGAGCTTTCCAGCTTTAGAACATGGGGCATGGCATCCAGAGATCCTCTCTGACTTCTGTCGGAGAGGGTCCTCTGGGGGAAGTGGCTGGGAGAGGAGACTGAAGCACTGAGCTCACCTTCTCATCCTCACCCGCACCCCAGTAAGGAAGTGCACCGGTAGGGTCAGGAGCCAGAAGACCCCAGAACCAGAACAGGACCATTTGTTTCAGTCCACTTGCTCATGAGAGGTAATCCAGCCCACTCGTTGCTAGAGACAAGCGGGTCTGGACATCCGGCTGGCTGAACCCAGCACCCGTAGACCCTATATCATTGGCTTTCTCGGTGTTCTCTGCTAAGAGGTACCCAACAGAAAAGTAATCTGAATCCCTCTTCTTTTTTTTTTTTTTTTAAAGATTTTATTTATTTATTGGACAGAGAGAGAGAGAGATCACAAGTAGGCAGAGAGGCAGGCAGAGAGAGAGGAGGAAGCAGACTCCCCGCTGAGCAGAGAGCCCGATGCAGGGCTCAATCCCAGCACCCCGGGATCACGACCTGAGCCGAAGGCAGAGGCTTAACCCACTGAGCCACCCAGGCGCCCCTGAATCCCTCTTCTTGTTGGGGCTGGCCCATGATCCTGGGGCAGAGAGAAATCCCAAACGCTTGGGGCCCTCCGAGCAAACTTCACCCATCAGCTGTAGAGTTCAGGGGGAGAGCCAGGTAGCATGTGGGTTTCCCACCTCAACAGGCCGCCTAGTGTTTAATATTTTATAAAATTGCCTCCATTAATTTTGTAGGTGACAGCTGCATTAACCCTCCCCAAATCATTGAAAGCATATTAAAGTTGAGTGGGTGTAATAATGCGGGCCTCCCTGGATAGGCAGAATCCAGTGCAAATTAAACATGAAACGTAACGAGGGCTTTGCAGCTCATTTTGTAATTTAATTGAGCAATGGATCTGGTTGTTAATGGCACTATCAGACACGTTAGATTGATACGTTGCAAAGGAAGGATGTTTAAGTAGAAAACTAATTCCTGCTGTGATTACCCTTCTGTTCCACGGGCCCCATTATTAGCGTGCTTTGTGGAAAATTCATTAGCAGTCATTGCTTGATCTCTAAATAAATAAGTTGTTTAAATTGTGAGTAGAAAAAAAAAAGAGGCTGATTATGTAAATGGATTAGGTTGTCAATACTTCATTTCCAGATTCTTTCTTTGCAGCTATGCAGTCAGTCACTTCCTAAATATGGCAGGTGGGGGAGTGCCCTTCAAGGGGAGTTGGCTGGCCGGGCCTCTGCACAGTCCTGCTGGGTGGCAGAGAGCAGGAATGTTCCAGCAAAAGCAGGGAGTTGTCAGGAGAGTCTCCTGGCTTAGGTTTTTTGCCCTGGTGTCTGAGATATTTGAGGAGAACCAAACTGAGGGACTTCTGGGAAAATCCATTCTGAGGCTGAAGAGGAGCTGGCAATTCAGATCGTGATTTTCCAGCCCTCCAATGCTTTGTGCCCTGCCCTTCTGCCTCAGTTTCCTTCTTTCCCTCCCCCATCCTCCTTCTCCTCCTCCTCCTTCTTCCTGTCTTCTACCTTCTCTCTCTTCTACGGACAACCTCCTCCTTCTTCTCCCTTCCTCCCTCTGTTTTCTGTTCTCCTTCCTAGATGGAACCTTGGACTGGCTAAAATGTTGCAAGGTCTGCTGGGCAACAACCTCGGGTCATGTCGGCCATTTGAGCTTGGGACGCACCTCAGCTCTCCGAATCCCAGCCCCCTCAATTCCAGAGTGAGGGTGATGGGCATACTCCCTGCTTCAGGGGCCCAGGGCCGGGCCTCAGGGCCTGCTGAGCTGGGAGCCCCTCTCTGGCCGCTGCCCCAGTCTGTGGCCATCCTCATCCCTCATCTGCTGCCCCTCCATTCTGCCACATCCCTACTTTTGCCACAGTGACTCTGTGAGGGAACAATGGGTGGCATCTTCTTTGGGGAAGCCCTCAAGGTTAGACCCCAGTCACTCTCCTCTCCCTGTCATCGTGGGCACAAGGTGACAAAGAGAAGACAGACGGGCACCCGGTGCAGAGTTGCCAAGACTCGGGCCTGACACCCCAGCCCCCCTGGGCCTCAGACATTCACCACCCAGCTCTACAGCATCGCTGGGGCCTGGCCACACCATCACCCTCATGAACAGTGCCCGAGGGCCCCCAGACACAGCTGTCCCAGCCCAGCTGGGGAGAACAGCCCTGGCTCCAAGAAGTGACTCTCCAAGATTTAATAAAGAAGTTAGGGCTATGTTTTTGGGTTTTTTTTGTTTTTTTTTTTTTTTTTTTTTTTTTTTTAAGCATCTTTTATAGCTCCCCTCCTCACCATCATTGTGGAAGGCACGGCAAACTGGAAAATGGTTGTCTAGATGACAGAACACTTACAAATTCCTCAAGTCTACTCTGGGGTTAACATTTGGAATTCTTCCCTGCGAGCCTTTTCATGCCAGCACCTGAGGCAGAAGGTCGGATGGGCTCTGTTCTGGGAACTTCAGAAAACAGAATTAATAAGAACATTCATCGTAACTAACATTTCTTTCTGAGCCCCTACCACGCGTGGGACACCTCTCCAAACGTTTACACACCTTATCTCGTTTCATCCTCAAACAACCTGATGGGCTTTAGTCATCATAGTCCCATTTTACAATGAGAAAGCAAATGTTAGGACTGACCTGCCAGCCTCACAGGAGCTGGGCCGGGATGTGGGTCATGCAAATCCCCAAGGCCATTTCCCAAGTCTCTGGGATGCAGGAGCCACCCACCTCTTTTACCCTGGATGCCTCCAGGTGTCCCCCTGACCTTGTCAGGATCCAGGCATGGGGCAGTGATTCTGCACCCCTGGGGAATATCTCCAGTCTGGAGTGAGGGGTGTCAGGCGGTCAGCAGTGGGGGTCATGCTCCTCCACAGAGGACCCACAACCAGGGGCTGTAGGGCAGTGAGTGGAACGATGGTGGGTACGCTGGGAGCTCAGAGGAGCAGGCAAACTACTGACACAAAAGGAGCTCAGTCCTCCTCCTTAGGTGGGGGCGTGCTCACCGACTGATGGGCGAGGCTCAGCCTCTGCTTTGGACACCCCTCTCCCAGCCCCATGTCGAAGGAGGAGGAAATCGTTGCTGCTGTTGTGGGGGATTCTCCCATCCAGTGAAGGAGGGTGCCTCTTGTACTCAGGAAGGTTCTGCACTGTGGAGGAGACACGTGTCCAGTCTGACCAAGGGAGACTGGACATCCGCCCAAAAGAGTAGGAAAAAAAACCCCAGAAACGGTAGAAATGAAAGGACCACATTTCACGAACCAAGATGCCACCAATGGGAAGATGAGCTGTCCTACCTACTGCTAAGAATGAAAACACTGGTAATTAAACGATGACGTGCCGTCAGCTGTAAGACGGAATCCATGGCAGAGATGCCCAAATGTAGTTGGCAAACATAAGGTTTATTGTTTAATGGGTACAGACACTTCAGCTTGGGAAGATGAAAAGTTCTGGAGTTGGTGGTTATGATTGCTCAAAATGCGAGTGTCCTTAGTGCCACTGAAACACAGTTGAAAGGGTAAATTTTATGTTGCACATATTTTACTGCAATCAAAAAATGAAATAAAAACCACATTTCAGGCTTAGAAGCAATGAAATAGGACAGTATGAACTCAGGGCCAGGGGCCCGAGGAGGGGACCGGGCACAAAGCAGGGACCTGACTGGGGGACTGAACTGTCAGTGCTTCCTGGGGGATGAGAAGGGAGCAGGGGAGGCTGGGGTGGCATGGAGCAGAGCAGGCCCGGGCCTGGACACGGAGGGCGCATGCTGGCTGGATCTGGAAGGGGAGGGAAGGGGGCACAGCCTCAGCCCCGCTCTGTTGTCTTGCAGGTGCCAGGAGGAATGCCCCTTCGGGACCTTTGGCTTCCAGTGCTCACAGCGCTGTGACTGCCACAACGGGGGCCAGTGCTCCCCCACCACCGGTGCCTGCGAGTGTGAGCCTGGCTACAAAGGCCCGCGCTGCCAGGAGCGGCTGTGCCCCGAGGGGCTACACGGCCCAGGCTGCACCTTGCCTTGCCCCTGTCACACCGACAACACCATTAGGTACGAGCTGGGGTCCAGGGAGCCCGGGGACGCTTGGGTGGGCAGGCCCTGGTGGAGAGGGGGCTTCTCGGGGCACAGACCCCCGCCTCCAGCCTGGTCACCCAGGCAGGGCAGCGAAAGAGCTGGGACCTGAGCGGTCACCTTTGCTGACTAGCCACTTTGCTGAAAAGAAGGGGAAGGCGAGGCCACACAGCCAGGACCAGGACCCAAGTCACCTGCATCTATCTGCCATACCCAGCTGCCAGCTCTGAAAGTGGGCCAAGCTGAGACCCGCCATGAAGGAGACAGGAGGGAGTTTGGGGATCCTTCAGGTGGGGTGGAGGATGGAGCCGCAGAGTCCCGCAGAGCTGGGATGGCTGGACTCCCATGCCACAGGCTCTGGGGGCATTGTCCTTGAGAAATGTCCCCTCCACCTGCTCTATATCTAGCTGAGCCATTTCCCAACCCCCAGAGGCCCGGAGACAAGACTGCCAGGACAGAAGCAGGGGCTCGAACCACAGAAGGTCTGTGTGGAAGGGACCTTAAAGACCAGTAGGGCTCTCCTGGGGCCCAAAGAGGACTGTCCCAGCAGGCCCCGGCCAGGGTGGAGGAGCAGGAGGGACAGAGCTCAGGGCTGCCTCACCTCAGCTGAAGCCAGCCCCAGGAGCTGCTTCCAGAGGAGCCTGAGTCTGGGGAACAGAAGAGCCAGAACTGCCCCTGGGCCCACTCTTCTGCACCTCTTCACTTCCTCTTCGTGCACCAGTTAGCACCACCCTCTGGTAATAAAGGAGGCTGTTGGCCCCAGAGAAGGCCTTCACGGCCCTTTATGTGGCTGCCTCTTATCTGGGTGGCGAAGGGTCGGGGAGTCTCCCTTCTCCCCTCGGACCTGCAGGACTGCCTGGGGAGGACTGGCAGCTCTGGGTGCGGGGTATTGCTGCCATTTGCAAACTAGAGATGCCTCTTCCTTGCAACCCCGTTGCTGGGATGGCCAGGACTTGGCCTCAGCCCCCTTCTTCGTTTCCAACCTTTGATTCTTCACAAATCCCCCCAAGAGCCTCTGGTCACTGCTAGTGTTATGGCTTAGGTGGAGTCTGTCCTTGGTCCTCAGTCCCCGGAGCTGAGTGGCTAGGGTTAGCGCCACCTGCAAGGTGGAGGGCTGGGAAAGAGGCTGTTGAGAGGGGCTCCGGGGCCAGCAGAGCAGGCCCGTCTGTGACGCAAGCACTCATTCCCTCAGTCATCATTCAGCAAACACCAAGCACCTGTAGGGCTGGGCCACAAAGAGGAAAAAGAGTCCCTCAGCTCCAGTCCAGCCCTCAGGAACTCGGGGCCTGGAGCACTCACACACACTGAGCCCCTTCTACCTCAGTTCTGCAAAATACAAGACAGTACCAGTAGTGAGGCAGAGCTCTGTTTTATGGACTGCTAAGAAAGGAGAATGCAACCAGCTGAACCATGATGTACCATTGATTGTACAGCACACCCAATATCTGAGATGTGAAGTGTAGGAGAAAGTGCATCTTAGAATCAGTGAGCTCTGTGTCACCAGCTCCGCTAGGTCCCAACATGTGCCCAAGTGACTGTGACCAGGGCTGTGTGTAGAAAGCACCAGAGGAAACTGCTGTGGTGGTCAGGGAAGTCTTCTTGGAGGAAGTGGCACCTGGGCTGGATCTTGAGGACAGGGTGAGAGCTCTAAGGCTCTCGAGACAGGGAGTCCCTACAGCTGGGCAGAGGCTGGGCAGCTGCCTCAGCCTGTTGCACAGGTAGAGAACTGCACCAGGAGCCCCCACCCCTGCTGGCAGCCAAGGGAAGACTCTCCCAGAGCCAGGAAGCAAGGCTACCGCTGAGGTCCAGTGCAGGGAGAATCCCTGCCACAGAGATCCAACCACCCCCAAATTAAAGAGCTATTGTTTTCCTCCTGTGCCTGAGCAGCCGTGCCCTGCATAATTTATTCCTCCTCTGAAGGAGTCCTCGATGCATTATTAATCTGGAAGGACTCCCTCTTCTCCGCTGCTAATCTCAGCCCATCCAATATTGATGATTGTTTGCTTCACTGTCTTTAACACGTGTCCTGTCGCAGGGACTGGGAGTCGGTAGCGTTTCTTAGGATCTAGGGCTCGAGGCCAGGCCCCTCGGCGTCTGCACGACACTGAGCTGTGTTACAGCACAGGCTCTTGGAAGGCAGGAGAGGCCTAGCCGATCCCCCTCTGTGGCCTCAGCCTGGCACAGGGCCTGGCACAGAGCAGATCCTCTGTGAGAAGAATCATGGAATTCCTCTGAATCAGCCTACTCCTCTAGATGGTTCTGCCCCCAAGCTGATGTCTTATTTATTATTTATGTATTTATTTTTAGTGATTGGCACATTGGTCCAGTGACTGAACCCATGACACTCACATGTTGACTTTTGGGGCTGGACAATCCTTTGCTGTGGGGACTGTCATGTGCATTACAGGGGGTTCAGCAGCATCCCTGGCCTCTCCCTATGAGGCACCAGTGGCAAGAACCAGCCCCCCAGTCTGACAGGCGAGACTGTTTCCTGGGTGCGGATGGGAGAGGCAACGTAGTCCACGGTTGAGAGCCTGTGGCCTGATTGAACTCTCTAATGCTGCCCTTGGCTTTGTCCTCATGGCCACAGAGAGCACCTCCCTTCATGAGCCTTTGTCTCATTACAGAGCCTTCTCTTGGGAACCAAGAAAAGTAGAGGGAGGACTGTCTGATTCCTAATCTTGAGGCAGTTAAGCTCTCCTGGCTGGGGTCTGGGACACCTGAGTCCTGCCTTCAGAACTACTTCTGTCTGAGCAAATGTCCTGATAGGTGTACATGTCCTCTAAGTATCTCAGTTTCCCAGTCTGTCCATCCCTTTCATCAGCCCAGTGGAGATAGAAGTTCTCTTGTGGTCTTTGAAGGTGAAGCTTCCACCCAACACCCTGAGAGATGGGGTGTGGGATCCCCTTCTAGAAGCCTAGCCTCCTCTCTGCCCTGACTTCCAAGAGAGCTTACGACAGAGCTGCTCCAAGACGGTTTGCAAGGCCTAGAGTGTCTATCCTAGGGAGACAAAGTGCTCTCAGCCCCCAACCATAGGAAACCCTACTTGTCAGGCCCTGGCCTCTGTCTGCCTGGTTGCCACCCCCCCACCCCCCCCACCCCCCGCCTAGAGGCTGCTTCAAAGAGGCTGAATCCATGTGCCTGGGGAAGGAAGAAGTGGCTGGTGAGAGCCCCCCATCACTTCATTCTCTTTATAAATGCTCTGTGGCACCCACAAAGGAACAAGCCTCCTTCGTAAAGGAATAACCTTGAGAGAGAGAGTGCCTGTGTCTCAGGCCTCTGTCGTGTCTCCTCCACAATTGGATTGTCATAGATGAATTCTAGCAGCCACGAGGGTGTATTACCTTTGAAAGATTTTATTTAGCCAACAGATGCAGCACTGATAGAAATCTCAGAGCAGCCCAAAAAAAGAAGGAAAAAAAAAGACAGAAAAATCCACCCTGAAAAGATGCCTATATTGTTCCGCTTTCAGCTCCTATTAACTTGTGATTAATCTGTATCTGGGGGAAATGGCAGAAAGGCAAGGAAAAGAAAGAAAAAACCAAACCTAGAGCAAACTGAGCCAGCCTGCACACCACCGTTTATGACTTCTGCCTGAGCCTCACCAGCAGTCACTTGCCCACTGTGGGACCAAAGGGAATGGCTCTTTCCCCACAGGGCAGAGGGGAGCCTGGAGCAGGGGATGCCTGGAGAGATCAGATGTGAGGAAGGCGCCCAGTTCTGAGTCATAAACTGCTCCGCCAGCCCTCGCTGCGCGCATTCGCTTCAAAGGGATTTCAGAGGTTTTATAATAAATGATAAGCAATCAAATTAAGAAACTAGAAATCTGGGTTTTTTACATAGAATTTCAGGGAGGGAGAAAGAAGGGATTTCAGAATCTGTTTCGAGCTTTCTGGTTCTCAGAATGGAAAGTAAATTTGGCACAGAGCACAGCCCTGAGCAGCCAAAACACTGGCGGCTGAGACCTCAGGCGGGCACCGCAGGAGCACTGAGAAGTCAGTGTTTGCCCGCCGGCACGTGCCTGGTAGGCTTCTCCCAGGGTGGTGGTCCCTGTGAGAGCCAGCGCCTGCAGTGAGAGAATCCACTGATGGGAAGAGCAGAAGCCTGCCTGAGACCCTTCGGCATCGCAGGGGCTGGGAGGAGCTGATGGCCACAGCCAAAGCTGCTGGGTCCCTTTGCTAGATCCACATGTGTCTGTCTCCAGGACTGTCCCTGAGGCAGTCCCTCTAACCCCAGGGGAGGCCCCTGGAAGGTTGGATCCAAAAAGGGGATGGCTCAGACTGTTGAGACAGAGCGGCGTGGCCCCCGTCTGTCTGGCTAAAGGTCAGGGCCACCACGTGGGGGCCGCCCCTGCCCAGAGCACCGATACAACCTACTGTTTCCCCCTCACAGTGTGGGGTTCAAGGAGGAGTTTGTCTGGAGCCAGGAAAGTCAGGAAGTCTTCAAGCCCTCATCCCCCTACATGATTCTTCTTTTCTGCCTATTTACAGTTTTTATTGCTTTACGTCTGTTTATAACAGAGGCTCAGTTTGGGGAAGTTCAAGAATACATAGAAATTTAAGAAAAAGTTTTGAATCCCTCATAATTTCTCAACCCAGAGATGAGCCCCAAAACCATTTTGTTGTGACTTGCTTGTTCTTCATCTGTGTCAAGATATATAGATAGATAGATAGATATAGATATCTATATTTATATCTGTATCTATCTATATTTATATCTGTACCTGTATCTATCTATCTATATATATCTTCCTTTTCCCCATATTTTAGATCATGACTTTGTATATAACTTGCTTAATTCACTTCACCTTCTGTCACTAACAAGTCTGGAAAACATTTGAGTACTTCTCTGACATCCCTTCATATGAACTGTCTTAATTCATTTAACGAGCCCTTTGTTGTCAGGGGCGACATGAGGCCATCAAACAGACCTGGGCTTGATTCCCCGCTGCCACTGATTTAGCTGTTTGACCTTGGGCAAGTCACATAACCTCCAAGTCCCATCTGTAAAATAGAAGCTCTTGTGCCCAACTTGCAGGCTTATCTGAAGATTAGAAATATGTGTGAAGTGCCTGGTGCTTTTCTAGCCTGGTCACATTATTGTTTAAGTTTCTTGCATTTCCCCACTGTTATAAATAATGCTTTAGGGAACATTTCTGTGCATAAATCTTTCCCCACAACTCTCATTATTTCCTAAGAATAGAATCTTAGAAATGGAATTCTAAGACCAAAGGGTCTGAATATTTTTAGGACTCTTGATACATAACCCCAAATAGTTTTCCAGAACCCTTTATCAGCATTGAGTATTGTCCCTTTAAAAAAAAAAAAAACAAACTTTACTATTTTGATAGAGAAAAAGTGATATCCAGTTGTTAGTTAGACTTGGTAATTAACGAGACTAAACATTTTCCAAAATGATTATTAGCTACTTGCACTTACTGTTCAGGAACTGTCTGCTCCCATCCATCCCTCATTTTCTGTGAGAAAACCAGGGCTCCCGGGAGAGAGCTTGGCTGGGTTTCACACAATTAGTGTGTTCATTAATTCATTTGCCAGATATGTACTGAGCATCTCCAATGTGCCAGGGACTCTGCGGGGCCCTGGGGTACAATACAGAGAAAGGTGAAATAGACAAAGGGCCTTCCCCTTGGAGCTGCCTCCTGGTCGGGGAGACAGATGATAAGCAAGTCAATAGACACAGACAATAATTACTCGTAGCGAAAGTACTGCTCCAGATACTTAACTGGAAAGTGAATACAAGCCAGGCACTGGGGGTCCACCAGTGACCCAGAGAGACGAAGCCTGTGTCCTTGTGGAATTTAATAGAACGAAGACTTGTACCCAGGCTCCCCTGCCAGCCCAGAGCAAGCTGCTTTTGATCCTATACCTTGAGCTGGACCCCAGAGCTGAGAGGCGGGTGACACAGAGAATCTAGGAAGATTGGCCTGTCTCTACCATCCAGCATCTTCTCTGGAGTGCTCTCCATGGGTTCTCCCCATGTGCAAGAGATTTACTAGGGAGACAGCTTTGAGGGGAAATGAGGGGGGGTACTGAGGCAGCTAGGAAAACATCAGACTGCGGTGTAGGTCTCACCGTGTGGAGGAGAGGGAGGGAAGGAGGGAAGGCTGGGTGGAAAGCCTTAGTCTGTATCATGGTTCTAAGAAGGACTGGCAAGATTGGGAGTCTCAAGCCAAATTGCCATTAGAGGAGTCTCAGACATCCCAGGAATGTGCCGACTTTAATACCCCTGCCCTGGTGTAGCTGGGAGCAGCCCAGGGAAAGGGTGGGCTCTGAGCAAATGTAGTGATGGATTTCAGACACCGTCGCTGGGGCCATTGGGAGTTTACCCTGGCCACAGAAGCGCTGAGAAGCACCCGTTCCACACCGACATCACTTCTGATCGTGAATGGTTAGCAGCTGTTAGATCACACCTCTGCTAGCCAGGGGTTGCCCTACTCTCTAAGGGTCATGCCGGGCAGCCCCTGCCTCTGGCCTAGACAGAGAGGGAGTGGAGACGATCACACTCGCTCTGAAAAAGCACTAGCAAAGCCCAGTTGGAAGGTATTCTCTCCAGTGTAGACATTGCCAGAGGCGGGAGGCCCCATCTGCCCTGAGGTCTCATTTTACCTTAGCAAATGTCTGCAGAGTATCTACAATATGCAGAACCTCTGGGTCTCACTATAGCCGACTTGTGCCTGCCCTCACACCAGGCATCTGCCCTGGGTACAAGGCTCTGCATTTCTAGAGAAGGGCTAGAGAAGGCACTAGTCCTAGAGAAGGGACTGAAGAAGGCTGCCTTCTTCTTTGGACTCTGTATACTTATGTTAGAAAGAGCACTTCTTTGGGAATCAGAAGACTTGTGTCATAATCCCAATTTTGTTGCTTCCTCGCTATGTGACTTAAGGCAAATTATATAATTACCATGAGCCCTAGTTTCTTGGGGCCATTAAGGCCATGTGACTTTGGCACCTTCTGACAAGGCAATAAGCAATTTAACCTCAGGCCCTTGGATCCTGCTACCCTGGCGACGAGAGCTGGGATGGGCGGAGGGTGGGACGGGGCTGGCTCCCCAGCCAGACTGTCCTCTCTTTCTTCTCTCATCTGCTCAGCTGTCACCCAGTCACTGGAGCGTGCACCTGCCAGCCAGGCTGGTCTGGCCAGCACTGCAACGAGTCCTGCCCCGCTGGCTACTATGGCAATGGCTGCCAGCTGCCTTGCACCTGTCAGAACGGCGCCGACTGCCACAGCATCACCGGGAGCTGCACATGTGCCCCAGGCTTCATGGTAAGATGGGAAGGATCTCCCATGGCCCCAGGCTCCCAACCCCACAAAGGAGTGGAGACTCTGGGAATGTGGCCCTTTGCCCAGGGATGAAGGATGCGAGTTTCTGTGCTCAGAGATAGGACTTCTGACTCCAGAGCCCCCAGGCCGTTCTCGAAGGGCCAGTTCCCCTGGTTTCTGTAATTGTAGATGGAATAGAAGGAGAGGGTCTTTCCATTGTCCCCTCCCCATGGAACACCAGTTGTCTTTGCGTCCAGCTCCTCCCTGTCTAAATCCAATGCACATGGTGTTTTACATCATAATAACCACAGTACACACACACACACACACACACACACACACACACACACAGTTTTGCATTCTACTTGCTTTCACCCACATTTGCTGCCCGGGGTTCTTAATTATCATTTTAAATAGCTGCATACCCCTGCAGGAGCTGCTGTACTCCCTCTCCCCCCAGTTTACTCAACCATCCCTTACTGCTGAATATTGAGTTGTTTCCAATGTTCACAGCAAATGTTGCAATAAGCATCTTCCTACAAACAGCTTTTCCTCTCCTATTGAATTATTTCCTTAGGGTGAATTCCCAGGGTCAGTGGGCATAATATATTTATGGCTCTTGATGGATGTTGCCATATTACTTTCCTCAAGGGTTATATAAATCTATACCGCCAACAGCCATGTATGAATGTACCTATTTCAAAACAACTTTGCTAACATCCTTTTTTCTTTTCTTTCTTCTTTCTTTCTTTCTTTCTTTTTTTTTTTTTTGTTTTTTGTTTTTTGTTTTTTGCTAATTATATCAGTAGAAAATGGGTCCTGGATGTTGTTGTTCTAATTTGCATTTCGCTGATTACTAGGGAGAGTGAACCTTCCCCCCCACCCCCCCCCCACCCGTGTTTACTGTTTGTGGTTTCTCATGAATTATGCTGGTTTTTATGAGGTTAGGGAACTTGACACTGGAAGTGGAATCTTGTTCGAAGGTGGGGCGTGCCCAGCAGGTCTGAGGACCCAAGCACTCGTGGGGGCGGGGTGGGGGCGGAGGAATCCCTGTGGCCATGTATTTTGCTGTGCGATAGGAAGTGGTTGGTGCAGTACAGACCATGGTCTTTGGAACCAGACTGGGGTCACATCCTGGCTGTCCTCTATCACCGACTGTGTGACCTTGGGCCAGTGAGTTAACCTCTCTCTGAATCGGTTTCCACACCTTTGGGATGGAACACCTGCCTTGCAAAATTGTGACCAGTTGGAGAGATAGACCATAGAAGGTAGCTCCCGCTGGTGCTGGTTGCACTTTAGTGAGTGTATGGAGGGGCAGTGGGCCTTCTGACCTTGCAGATTCTGACCCGGTTGAAGGGGGTGGGGCCCAAGGGTCTGCCTTTGCAACAAGCTCTAGGTGATGTCAGTGCTGCTGGTCAGGGGCCTCACACTGAGTAAGAAGGGGTGGTGCTCAACTTGGACTGCACCTTGGAATCACCTGGGCAGCGTTGCAAACACTGATGCCTGGGCCCCACCCCCGCTTTCCAGAGACACTGATATGTTGGGTCTAGTTGAGGCTAGTATGCTGCCAAGGGGAGACCCACTGATCTACAAGGAAGCCATACTCATGATGTGGAAGTGTGGCTTTGCCTAGGGACTTTTGTGGGCAAGTTTGTCGTGGGTAGAACAAAACTCTGCCTGGTTCCTTCTTCCTCCTCCCTAGTGCAGGTGAAATTGAGTAAAAATGAATTCTAGTGACATCTTTTTTTTTTCTTTTGAAGATATTATTTATTTATTTGACAGACAGATAGGCAGAGAGGCAGGCAGAGAGAGAGAGGAGGAAGCAGGCTTCCTGCTGAGCAGAGAGCCTGATGCGGGGCTCAATCCCGGGACCCTGGGATCACAACCTGCGCCAACCTGAGCCGAAGGCAGAGGCTTCAACCCACTGAGCCACCCTGGTGCCCCTCTAGTGACATCTTTGAAAGAGAAAGAAGTCATTTCCTCCTGCGGGTCTCCTTTCTAACTTACCTTCATTGGTGTGAGCTCTGGCCATCGCTTCCACAGAAAAATGGGAGTGCTCTCGGTTTGGGGCTTTGGGTAGGAGAGAATAGTTGGTTGGGATTAAAAATCTTACACAGTCGGGGCACCTGGGTGGCTCAGTGGGTTAAGCCTCTGCCTTTGGCTCAGGTCATGATCTCAGGGTCCTGGGATCAAGCCCCACATCGGGCTCTTTGCTCGGCGAGGAGCCTGCTTTCCTCCTATCTCTGCCTGCCTCTCTGCCTACTTGTGATCTCTCTCTCTCTCTCTCTCTCTCTCTGTAAAATAAATAAATAAAATCTTTAAAAAAAAATATCTTACACAGTCAAGTGATCAGGAGATGGAAGCAGAATTGAACTGCCCACACCAGAGCCATTAGTGGGGCCTTCTGGCCCTGGTCCCAGTTTCGCTACTGTGACTTTGGGCTGGTGACTTTCTCTCTCAGGGTCCCAATTCCTTCATCTGTAAAGGATAAGTGTGCAGGGGAAATGAACACACTGGGTTCTAGGATGCTCCACAATGTGGACTCCATGGACCGAGTCAGGAAGCAGACCCTTATGGGGAAAATAAAGGGAAGTAGGAGCAAGGAGGGGATTGTGAGAGAGAAAGAGAGAGAGAGAGAGAGAGTGTGTGTGTGTGTGTGTGTGTGTGTGTGTGTGTGTCTGTCTGTCTGTCTGTGTCTGTGTGTTTGCCAAAGGAAAGGTTGTATACATTGTATATGGGCCTAACGAGAGTCCCATGTTCCTTTTCCTCACCCCAACTGCCTGCCTGGTCATTGTTCCTCAATAGAAGGAAGAATTCGTCCCCTTCAAGGGCTAGAGAGGCCAGTGTCTGTGCGCCCACTGCCCCCAGGCCAGGGCTCCTGAAGGCTGGAGGCCAGCCCACTGCTTCTCTTCCTCCCATCTGGGATGCAAATGACTTCCTGCCCTTGAACTTTAGGAGACTTGGCACTTGCAGGAATCATCTCTTTGTGAAGTCCCACCTGCCTGGGGCTTGGGGCTAAGACAGATTGTAAGCCAAACTGCCCTGGTGAGACCCTGTGAATTCTCATCCATCTCCTCCTGCCCAGCCTCATTATACCTGGAAAGGCTCTTCTGGGGCCCTGTTGGGTGTTGAGCAGGAGCTGCTGGAGGTGATTACAGAACAGTCAATTGTTCTCATCCAGCGTGACTCATTCCTGCATGTACCAGACTCCAAGAGGGAACTCATTACTGTTGCCTTTACCCCAGCTTCTGAATGAATGCAACTTCCTGCAATTAGCTAGCTCTGGTCAGGGTCAGGGATGAGGCGATCAGCAGGGCAGACTTGGCTGAGACCCTCCCTAGAATGCCCTGCCATCAATAATAATTAGCAGTGCCTTTATTTGCTAGTTAGTCTATAAATTTATGCAGCGGCCCTTTTCCTTGAAAGATTTTTAGGATGAGCAGTTAATTAGTTAATTAAAAGAGCCCTTTTCTGAGTGTTGGGAGACCTCGATCCTAGGCTCACTAACTTTGGACATGTCCCCTCATTTTGCTGCGCCTCAGTTTCCTCCTCTGTAAGATGGGAGTCACGTCTGTCCTGCCTGCTATCGGATGTGAGTGGCAAACATGGCAATGGATATGAGGCCACATCCCCATCTGGCCCCTCTCGCCAGAGCCTGTCCTGCCAACTGCTGTACAGGGAGGATGCCAGGATAGCTTAGGAAAGCAGAGTCTCTGAGGGCTGGGAATGGCCTCAGACTCAACAGAGATGCGAGGAGCACTACTAGAGTGGTCCGGAACCACCCCAGGGAGTCCAGTGACAAGCCTGCTCCAGCCAGGTGATCCCCACCTCTACAGAGGCCATGAGAATATGGGGCAGGAGCAAGCCCCACCTGGCGATCCAGGTGTGCTGGCCCTCACACTCTTTCTCCTTCTTTCCCAGAGCACTAGACATTTACTCTGCCAAGGACTTGGGGAGGGGCAGCTGGGGGTATGGAAAGGGCTAATCAGACATCCTTCTAGTCTTCAAAGAGCTTGTGCTTAGCGATAATCATATTCACACCAGTAGCAAACACTTAGGAGTCCTTGCTGCATGCCTCATCTCTCTCCCTCACAGGAGCGTGATGGAGGTGTGCTTTCATGTTCCTCAACTTGAAGATGAGCTGAAGTTCAAACAGGATAAGTGACTTTGCCCAGGATCACAAAGCCACTGAACTCTCACAGGTTAGATGATAGACTTTGATTGACAGGTCACCATGGAACCACACAAACCTGAGTTCAGATCCTTGCTCTCCAATCCCCACTCTGCCTACTGGCAGGTCACTCCCCCTGCCTAAGCCCAAGTTTCCTCATTTGTTAAGAGAAGACTTTGTCATGAGACTGAGAAGCTTCATACGGTAAGTTTGCCATTCAGTGCCTGGGACACAGTAAGCACCCAGTAAAATGGTAGTAGTTATTGGTGCACAAGAGGAATAGTGCTTCTTCTAAACCCAGCACCCCTCCCGTCAAGGAGAGTGTCAAGATGAGCTACACCCAGGAGTTCTGTTGGAGCAAGCACAGTCATGAATACTTACAAGTCCAAGCAGGTCCACCCAAGCACCCGTGGGTCACCCTGAATAGTCAGTCTCAGGAGACATTGTGGGGTGAGCACACCTGTCAGTGTTTGGGGAAATGGACATAGGGCTGGAGATAGGAATAAAGTCTAAGCATTGTATATGTTAGCTTGGCAACAACAGTGGAATCACAGGGCATGCTTTGCTAAATTGCATTGGGGCTTCTGGGTAGGGCAAAAGAATCCTGAACTGGAAGGTGGGAAACCAGGTTTCCAGCTCTGGTTCTGCTAACTTTCAGGACTTCCGTTTCTTATCTGTAAGGTGGGAATGATAGTCTCTATCCAACAGGAACAGGGTTATGGGAACCAGTCATTAAAACGGGAGGGCTTCATATTGGCAGTGGCATTGTGCCAGCACCTTGGACAGCAACCCCGAGGCTCTCTTCCAAGTTTGCTCTGGTTCTCTTAGAACC